CTATTTTTTATGAAATTTTAAAGAATTAAAGGAAAACCAATTATTTAAAATTATTTAGGTGGGGGAGAAATTGAGAAAATATTGTGAAATATATTTTAGGTATTTATAAAATTTATAAAAAAGTTTAATTCACCAAAAGTGGCCTATATAGTTTTAAAGCTTATTTTTGAGAAATTAAGTGCCTATTTTCCCAAGAACAATTGAAGAAAAATAATTAAAGATTAACTTTTAATCCAAAAATTTTTGATAAATTATTTTGTTAGATAAAGAATCGAATTAAGGTGAAAATTTTACATAAAATATGCTAAATTAACTTTTATAATAAGGTAAAGATAAAAGAGGGGTAAAAATTATAAATTCCTTACCCTAAGCCCAAAAAATAGAGCTGGGATAGGATTAGACCTAATTCCTAAAGCTCAAAATGTGCTTTATCTAATCTAAAAGATAAGTTAATTTTTAGTGGATATTAGCTTGTTACCTGATCAAACTGCAAGCTAACCCACTATCACAGGCATAGGCTTATACGGTACATGAAACATTCTTCTTTTAACCCTTAGAGTACGCGTTTGGAAGCATTACAGTTCAAGTGATTCACAAAACAAGCTTGTTGATTAAAAATTTGCGATTGGTTTTCGGATTACTACTCGTTGGTTAAATTTCAGATTTTGGTTTAACTTTGAAAAATCATAACTAATTATAGAAAAATTGTATTGAAGTGGTTCAAAATTTTATCTAAAGCTCTTTCAGTTCTCTAAAGGAAAACAATATAAAATTGGACTTAACCCTTATTAATTGTATAGTTTATTCATTGAAATTTACTGTTTATTTGGTCAAAACTGTATGTTTTTGTTTCTTTGCTCTAATTTGATCAAGCATAACTCTTAGCGCACACATCCATTTTAGGTGATCTACCACTTCTTTTAAAGCTCATGATGTTTACTTTAACCATACTAAATTTTAGAGGTAGAATCAATCGTTTGCTTCACTTACACTCTGTCTCGATTTTGTTGCTCAATTAGGGACAGTTACTTCCCTTGACAATTCATAAGTAATTCTTTCCTTGCATAATATCATTCCATTAATCCATAAACTATTTCATCAATCTGCATAATATCCTGAAGTTGAGAGAAGTATCCACTTATATGGACCACTTAAATAAATATCAATAATTAATATAGTCCTTGCACCACCTAAAAAAACCTTCAATACTTACACCGATGCAATGAAAATACGCTCAAATGTATTACCAATGGCTGCCTATTCAGCAACTATTTTATCATCGATGTTCTTTAGTCTTTGGCATATTCATGGTATGAACATATAGGATTATTCTGGTTTCCCATGTATGTCTGGTTTCCCATGTATGTCTTCTATTGTCTTTTCTTTTGCTCTATAAGCTTGATAATATGTTATCCACACACCATACTCCTTTTTTAGTGTCTTCCTTATTTCATTGGGACTTTTTTTTTTGTATGGTTCCTTATCTTTTGAAGTATTAGTGATGATGTCAAAGCAGCAATCTCACCATAAGTCACATCCAGATTATCTTGCACTAAATAAATATATTCATTGCATAATGCGGTGATGCATGATAAAGAGTATCTTCCCAACAGTATTTGCACATATCTTTCAAGGATACCTTTTCACTTTACATCTCATATTCATCTTCTCCTTACTGTTCCTCACATATTTCACTGCAAACTTCTGTACAATAATAAACCTATACATAGGCTACCTAAAAGTTTCGGCATGTGGAATATAATGCTCCACTTCTGCAAAAACTCAAACCTATTTCATACAATTCAAATTATCCCTTAATGTGTCTTCACTCTCTTAACTGTCACACAAGCTTCTCTACCTTAAACCCCCTCCTTCATATGTTAGACATTCACCAACAATGTCAACACTGACTGGCTCATAGTCATTACCAAAGTTCACCACACCTTCATTTATTTCTCTGACGATCTAAATAAATTCTCAATCCTACAAGCATAATAATAAGATTTGAATGGGAATTAGCAACGACTCATTAGGAAATAACAACTTTCTACTCAACAGACTAAGTATAATAACAAGATTTTTTTGGAAAATAGCAACAACTTATTACTAAATTATAACTTTCAACTGCAACTTGATAACCTTAATAACAAGATTTGTATCCTAATTAACAATAATTCATTAGCAAATAACAACTTTCAACTACTACATAATAAGCATGATAACAATATTTCTTTGGGTATTAACAAAAATTCATTAGCAAATAACAACTATCAATTGCAAAAATATAACCACTTACATTTCTCCATCATTCATTGCTCTATCTTCCTTATCATTTCCTTTTACTACTATATACAGATGAGTATTGCTGTCATTATATCTAAACATAATAGAAATATCACCTTCATCATGAAGATCAATCAGTGTTTTCTCACCAAACTTAATTGTGCACTTAATTTCACACCCTTTACATCATTACCTATCCACTGTGATATTGTCCCCATCAATTCTTTAAGTGTTATCCATTATTTTATGCTACTTACTCTCACACTCCCTCCAATGTATTTAACTTACCCTCACACTCCCTCAACATATTTAACTTCACCTTCATTGTTTCTTTCAAAATCTCCACCAAAATGAAAAAAACAAAATAAATCTTTCCTAGAGTTTGAGCTATTATTACAATTCATTTTCATGCTAACCTGTAACAAGAATTTATGTATAATAAATATATTAGCTTTAATATCATTTTATTCAATTAAATGAATCATTTACATAGGGAAATCAATACTAACAAACTCTTCTCTTCCTAGCTTCATATTTGGTTCTTACAACTTCAACATTCAAAATGAAAAGATCTTTCCCTTTCTACTGCACCACATGAAACTTTACACTCAAACTAACAACATTACCTCCTTCTATTTTCCCTCTCACACTCTACCATTTGTGACATTCCTAACCTTGTCCATCACAACCTACCCACAAAAATCAGAGACCAACAATCTGACTACAAAGACAAAAATATCCAACCTCAAACTAACCAAAACTTCCTCAAACTACTATCTTTGTCATCAACTTCACCTCTCACCCCCTCCATACCTATAACCCATGACCCTAATGCAACTCACTACATTGAAGAATAAGATCACATTCCTTTGTCTTCAAGGGTAGAAAAGAACAAGAGTTTTGTTAGAAGCACTGCTCACTTGATTCTCAAGCTTGTGCATTGCAAACAACATCCAATCTTCCTTCTCCAAAAGCTCTCCTGCCATCAATATTTTGTCTCTACGTTCATTATTGAATATGAGAAACCAAGGGGTATTTTAGTCTTTTAGACATGATTTATTTATTACAATTTAAGACCGCATCCCCCATGCAATTTAGCTTATTGATGTGTCTATTTCACAATTTTAGTAATTCATGAGTCTTTTATTGCCATTTTTCCTTGAAAGATATGCAAATGAGAAAGTAAAATTTTAAAAAACACAGATTCCGATACAAATGCTTAAAATAAGAGAGTGAAGGGTCACATGTAGGTTGCCACATGAGATAAAGTTGCTTGACATGTTTTCATTTTATTGGCCAGTGCACAAATTAGGCGGTGGACTGGGTGTACCTAGGACTTTCTCTATATTTCATATACCGTTCCCAGTTTTCTTTGTCCAGTAGTACAGGAAAGTCGAAGGTGGTGGTGGGAAAAAGTTTTCAAAGAAGAGTTCTAGCAAGTAAGGGTCTTTGGATACCGGACATTGAAGATTATTAATGAGTAAAAGAATAATTTTTTTCTCAAATAATCAATCTCTGCAACTTCTTTAGTTTGATTGCCTTCGTGGTCATAGTTGGAATTTATTGGAAATGAATTAATTTTGAAAGGTATGGGAGAAACAAGAGTATATAACAATGACAAAATATCCCTTTTAATCTCTCTCTCTCTCTCTCTCTCTCATATATTATATATATATATAAAAGTGTGTGTATTTTGACCTCATGACAACCTGATGGTCATTTTTGCTAAATGAACTTTCCTAATGAATAGGACTGCTTCATCACTATTCCCCAATGGTGTTCAAATCCTTCTACAATGTTAACTCTTTTGTATTAATGATCTTAGTTTTTTTGGTAGCCTCTTCTAATTTTCTGTTACTTGTCATATGAACATCATAATTCTTTTAGTATATTGTCTTTTTATTTAAAAAAAGGGAAAAAAAAGAAATTTAGAGGGCTTATGTGCTGGTTTTTTGTCATTGTTCTGGGTAGCTCCTCTGAAAATAAAAATGCTACTGGTGAATTTGTTCTGACGGTAAATAAGAAATTTTAGGATGATTCGGTCCATATTTAGTATAGTGTGCTCATAGCTAAAAAAGTGTAAAATTGCACCCCAACTATTCTTTTATATAAACACAACAACATTATAGCATAAATATAGGTAAATAACTAGCAAATTAAAAGAGGACCTATAGGACTAATAAGCTGTTGGTTGAAATAATAAACAGTCTCACCCTTATAAGAAAGAGAACACAAATTTAAATTATGAGAAATGCACTTATTGGGAGAACTTTAACTTGAATACTCCCGATCTGACAGAGATTAGTGTCAAGTCTAAAATGACTTGATCGTATTCTAAGTTATACTGAAACAATAATCCCTCTAAAAAACAAACGACTTGGATTAAAAGAACTGAAGGGCTGAGATCTCATTTGAAGAGGCAAAAACAATGACGTTTCTTGGTGTGGGAGCGGCAGCGGATGGGGAGGCAGAGGAGAGAAGCCAAACGCAACAAAGCGAGCCAAACCAAACTTGAGCACGGGTAATGTTTTCTCATGGGCCTGATTTAGGGTCTTTGTTTCAGCAGGGTTTGTTCATTGGGCTTGGGCCCACAGACTTGCATTTCTGTTCTTGTTCCTTGGGGTCCACTGGTGTTGCGTTAAATTGAATATTAAAAATTTTAAAATAACTCTTCTCAAATCAGTGGACGTCTTCGCCTCCGTCCTCGCCTCCGTCCTATCCCCATCGAAACTCCATGGCTGTCATACCCACAACTTCGTTGTTTTCTTCAATTCCCTTCGTAAAGCCTTACACGACATGTCTTCCCTATATTCTGAAACACTCTTCAAAAATGGCTTCGATGCACGCCGCACTCCATGGGAGAAATCTCAAGGCGATGCTTCTCTACTACAACAGCAGGAAGTGGGTTTCAATGGTCTCGGCTGTGGCTACTGATTCGTTGGAGGCCACAGTTTCCACGGAGCAAAACCAGAACGAGAAGAAAGAGAAAGTTGTTCTTCCTACGAACGAGTCGTCACAGAGGCTTCTCAGAATTCGTCATACGGTATTGCAGTATGGCCCGTTGTAGTTGCTTTCATCCCCCACCTTTAATTGAAGAGGATTATCAATTAATGGCTTAATTGCATTTATCTTTGATTTGTATTTACTTGTGTGCTGATGCTATATGTAATTGGTTGAAACTTACAGCTGCTTGACTGAGGAGGCATGTATTTTATTTTGGAGATCTGTGTAGACGGATCATTGTTCAATTTCGCAAATATAACTGAATAATTAGGTAATGACGTTATGAACATAAGAGAAGATTTTGCTCAAGGGAATATTAAAATTGTCCTATTTTGGGCTTTTATAATTGATAGCAAACACGTTTCGCACCTAAACAAATATTTGTATATTTAAATATTTCATTTAGTTTTATGTCTTTGGTGGTCTGGGAAGGGGGGAAGGATCACAAATCACGCAGATATGGGACCGAATGTAATTGCAAGATAATGGCGTGAGGCACGCCTAAGCGGGGTGAGGAACTCTAATCCCACGTGAAAAGTTAACATCTTGACGCCTACACTCTATGGCATTTCACTTGGTTTTCTCGCTTGATAAAACCCTCTTGGAGTCCTTTTATGGAACTACTGACCACCAGTGTCAGCACTAACTGATGGGCACCTGTGGTCAAGAACCAATCCACTAGAATATTCCATAGAGTGTCCCATGCTACCCAGTATGGGGCTTAGGTATTCTATATTTAGTTCTCATTACTATATAAGATATCTAATTTGTTCTGACACAAGAGAAAAAGATAGAGATAGCTGCAGTGTTAATGTATAGGATACACACAACAGATTCTTAGAGAATAAGTATGATTTATTTTCTAAAGTTCAGTACAGAAGGAATTGACTGATTCAATACTAGCTGTCTCTCTCTCTCCTTTTTTTTTTTTTGGGTGTAAAATAGATATAATAGTTACCGTGTCTTTAGATGCATTAACATGTTGTTTACATGCAGTGTGCTCATGTGATGGCTATGGCTGTTCAAAAGCTTTTTCCTGATGCAAAAGTTACAATTGGCCCTTGGATTGAAAATGGGTTTTATTATGACTTTGACATGAAGCCTTTGACTGATAAAGATTTGAAGAGAATCAAGAAAGAGATGGTAAGACAAGTAAATCCATTAGATTTAGATTATTTTGAATTCTCATACGTAAGAGCTGGGCTTACAATGCTTTGGAAGCCATGCATTAAGCAATAATTTCAGGTAATGAAATTTTATTTCCGGAATTTCTTGTAGGACCGCATTATCAGAAGGAATTTGCCCCTTGTAAGAGAAGAAGTTTCGAGAGATGAAGCTCGGAGAAGAATAATGGCTTTGAATGAACCCTACAAGCTAGAGATTTTGGATAGCATTAAGGAAGAACCCATCACAATTTATCATATTGGTAGGCTTCTGTCTATCTTCACCATTTATTTGACCATTAAGTAGTTAGAGAATTGAACTTTTATTGTATTATTAGCTTGACCAATTAAGATGCTTGAAGTGAATGCCAGTAGGCAATGTAGTTTGTTTAATATCAAGACTGTTAAGTAGATTTAAATGAAGAGGTAAGGTTGTTTCCAAGTAAAATACTATACTATGCAGGTTTCATATGGCATTAAGAATTGAGTTATTTGTGAGAAGCTTCCATTTGTTTGTTATCTCACCTTTTATTCCTTTTTCATTTAAGGCAATGAATGGTGGGACCTATGTGCTGGACCTCATGTTGAAACTACTGGAAATATTAACAAAATGGCAGTTGAACTTGAATCTGTTGCTGGTGCCTATTGGAGAGGAGATGAAAAGAAGCCAATGTTGCAGAGAATCTATGGCACTGCATGGGAAAATGAAGAGCAATTGAAAGCATACATTCACTTTAAAGAGGAAGCTAAGCGTCGGGATCATAGGCGCCTTGGGCAAGATCTTGATTTATTTTCAATACAGGTGCTGATAATTTTTAAAATGATTGGCTTATACTGACCAATACTATCTTGATTTGGATTCTTAGTTAAGTTTATTGTCTAATACTATTTTAATTTTGATTCTTCTTTTGGTCCATGAGTTAAGTTTTCAACTTTTCTTTTTTCATGAATTGGTGTTATGCAACTCTTGATGCATGATGAAAAATATTGCACCTGATGTATTTGACCTTTATTAATTTTTAGTAGGACGAGGCTGGTGGGGGTTTAGTATTTTGGCACCCAAAGGGAGCTATTGTGAGACACATAATTGAAGACTTATGGAAAAGGGTTCATATGGAACGTGGTTATGATCTGCTGTACACACCTCATGTGGCTAAAGCAGATCTTTGGAAAATCAGTGGCCATTTAGACTTCTACAAAGAGAATATGTATGATCAGATGAATATTGAAGAAGAGCTTTATCAACTTCGACCAATGAATTGCCCATATCATATTTTGGTATACAAAAGGAGGCTTCATTCTTATCGAGATTTCCCTATCAGGGTTGCAGAATTGGGAACTGTTTATAGATACGAGTTATCTGGAAGCCTACATGGCCTTTTCCGTGTCAGAGGCTTCACCCAAGTATGTTGTTATATCCTGCTTAAAAGTTTATTACTGTATGGTTTTTAATATTTATTTATTTATTTTAAACTTAGTAGTGAGATCCAACTGATTTTAATATTAATCCACAAACTTTTTCTTATAACATATATGTAGCATGTGACTCCTTAAGTGAAAATTTTATGGATGACATTTAAAGTAGAACTGTATTTTCTTTAGAATTCTTATAGCAAAACGCATGCTAATAGATAACTCTCATTTAATCTCAATCATTTCTGCAGGATGATGCACACATATTTTGTTTAGATGACCAGATTAAGGATGAAATCAGAGGTGTATTAGATCTTACTGAAGAAATATTGCTGCAATTTGGTTTTGACAAGTACGAAGTAAATTTATCTACAAGGCCCGAGAAATATGTTGGAGATGACGATATATGGGAAAAAGCAACTTCTGCTTTGAGAGATGCTTTGGATGATAAAGGGTGGTCCTATCAAGTTGATGAAGGGGGAGGTGCATTTTATGGGCCAAAGATTGATCTCAAAATTGAGGATGCTCTTGGTAGGAAGTGGCAATGTTCAACCATACAGGTATTCCTGACCTTTGAAAGGATTGTCTTTAGGTTGTTGTGAGATAGATAACTAAGTACGATTTTGATGGAAATGTTGTTCTGTGGGGGGAGTATATGGCATGAGGGGCCAAGTAGACCTGCGTTTTAAATGTAAAAATTATTTTGGGCTCTTTGCCCAAATGTTTGACTTAAATTCTCTATGGCTTCACAGGTTGACTTTAATTTACCACAGCGTTTTGACATCACTTATGTGGACTCCAACACCGAGAAAAAGCGACCTATATTGATCCATAGAGCAATTCTTGGATCCTTGGAACGATTCTTTGGCGTTCTGATAGAGCATTATGCTGGTGATTTTCCATTATGGCTTTCTCCGGTGCAAGCACGGGTTTTACCAGTTACTGATGCCCAAGTAATTAGTCTTTTAGCTTTTTATTTATGTCTCTTTCTGGAAGTTCTTTGGTGATTCCATCAATTCTGTCATGCAGGGGAGGTTCACTGGTCCAACAATGATTGAATTGGTTGTCAGTTGCCTTTTTTTTCTTTCTAAAACAATTATATCACATAGGAAACTAAAAGTATGTGAAAATTAAAAGTATTTGTGATTAAAGAAAATGATCAAACAATATCTACTACCTATACATCATTGGATAACTCCATTATGCATAAAAGAAGTTCACAATGTAAGACATGTAACATGTGTAAGGTAGTTTTAAGGTAGTTGTAATAAGGGAGTCGTTAGAAGGCTCATGAGTAAGAAGCCTGTATAAGGAAGATGACTTGCAATCAGAAGCTATGTTTTTTGGGTAATATTCAGTGCACTATTCATCTCTCTCTCTCTCTCGTTCTGGCTCTGGCTGTCTCTTCTCTCTTCCCTTCTCTCCCTCCCTCCTCTTCTTACCTCTTTCTCTCTGCCACTATCCATCAATATGATATAGTATTTAAGGGATTTGTTTTACTTTGAAAACATGGTAAAATGAATAACCTTATGCATTATTAGTTAACAAAAGCATCAACTGAAGAAGTGGCAGCACGGCTGTACTAGTTTAGTGACTGTTGATAACTGAACCAGGTCAACCTCATTTCTTGGACTGGCTGGTTTTTTTACCTCTTCCCTGCCCCTAATGCTGGTTGCTTAGAATATTGAGATGGAAGTATGGCTTTCAAATCTAACCTATTTTCTCATGCTATGCCATAGTTGATCTGTAATGATGAGTCTTGAGGCGTGTTATTCATTAGAGACTAACTGAGATTTATGACAGGTGAATGGGGATACTTAAACATAAAGGCAAAAGGACAAAAAAAAAAAAACAAAAAGCTAATTGATTAATTACATGAAACTTATCATCATTCATCATTGAATTCGCTGATTTCACCTTCTGCTAGTTGCATAATTGTGTATTCTAGTCAAATCTCCATCTAGGCAGATCATAGTTTAGATGCCCTTTTTTCTTGTTGGGTAGGAAACAGCAGATTATCTAGAGCTGAAAAGATATATTTGTATCTTCACACAGCTTGGATATTGCAATGATGTGACCGACCAACTTAAAGCAAATGGAATTCGAGCTGAAGTCTGCCATGGAGAGCGCCTGCCAAAGCTCATAAGAAATGCAGAGAAGCAGAAGATTCCATTGATGGCAGTTGTGGGTCAAAAGGAAGTGGAAACACACACAGTTACAGTTAGATCAAGGTTTGCAGGAGAGCTTGGAACCATGTCTGTTGATGACTTTATCAGCAGAATTAAGTTAGGGACAGAAAGCTCAACATCTTCATGAGATTACTTCAATTAGATGATGATGGCCATTCTATTTGCTCGAGGTAAGATTGGAACAATTTGAGACACTTTGAGAGGTAACAAACTTTGTACATTAGGAAGTTGAATCCAGATCCCTTGAAGCTGTTTCCTCGTAAGTTGCGTGTAAGTGTACGAAATGTAGATTTAATCATGAGTTGGGTTTAATTAATTTACAAAAAAAAAAAAAAGGAACAAGTAAAAGGAAACAAGGTTGCGGAAACAGTATACTCCTCAAAGAATCGATTTCGGAGGATCCTGGTAATTACTTAACTAAGCCCATGCATGAACATGTGCTCCAGGTGATATTTTAAGTAAATGCAGTTTGAAGCTGTGTATTGGAACCAAGACAGGTGTATACTAAGGAGACTATTAATGGGATTTTGTATATCTAAGTTGAGCATTATTTAATGTGCTATGGCTTGATTGTTAGATACCGCACATTGTTTTATGCCAACTCAATAAAGAAAATTGTAATATGCCGAATCTTTTTTTTTTCCTCTTACCCTGATATCTGAAATCTTGTGTATCTTAATTTTATAGCTAAAATGCGTGATCATCAATGGTTTTTTATCCGTATTTTGTTTTTTGGGTCTCGTTACCATCTAGGCATATATTCCAGTTCCAGCAATAGCGACTGTAGGGAATTTTTTTCTCCAATTGCTTATTATGAACAAGGCTTGTGTCAAATTACTTATATCTATTAGGATTAAGTTTTTCAGTTACACTTGTATTTTATTATTGTTAGTTGTTAAAATGCATGTGCATTAGTAAATTCACCTATGAACACTTGTAAACTTTTGTATCATTTTCTGTATTGTAAATTAGGATTTGTATATTTTTAGATGAACTGTTGCTATTTTGCTATTATTAGCTATTAAAATGCATATATACACTTGTAAATTTGTATATGAAATATAGACATTTATTATTTTACTATTGTGAATAGACGCCTATAAATTTATCTATGAAAATGAAGCAAGCGAGTGTGCAAATATATTTTAAGTTATAATGTGAATTGATTTTATTGCCCTTAACATGTCTTTATTTGTGGCCTGGTACTCTATTTAAAAAGACAGAAATAACCTTTGATTCGATCCTAGACTACAATCGTCTAATTGGCCGGCGGAGGACCTAATATTTTGGCTTTGTTTTTAATTTTTTTTTTGTAGCTGTGAAGATAAATATATTCATTATACACACATTTTTTTCTTTCCTTTCAATCTGCAAGTGAATTTGTTCAATTTGTTTAACAAGTTTTCGTTTGGTTTTCTAGGTTTATCTGGAGTCTAAATGTCTAATGCAACTTTTGGGAATCTTTTCTTTGTCGTCCTAAAAACAACACTTTATAATAATTTAGGAAAAAATAACGTTAAATGGGGATACATTAATTATGACACGAATTGTGAGAGGATGTTAATTTGGTGAGAATTAATCAAACTGAAGCTATAGTATCATCATTAGTTGAAATCGAAATATCCGTGGGATAAGCCCACAATTTGTATCGATTAAACAAATTATTGGAATTTTAAAAGTGGTACATTATGAAAGAGTTGTATATTCTTCTAGTTGTCCAATGCCTATTACGATATTAGTTAACCCCATCGTATCTTTAATGCCATCCATGTGTTTTTCCCTGTCCTTGGTTTAGTTCTAATTGTCTCCTCCCCATAGCAGCATCTCTACTTTCGTTCCGTTCTCAAGTTCTTAAATTTATGACGACTCCTTTCAATAGTAAACCAATTCCTTAACATACTGCCATGCATATTTCATGTGTAGAGAAAATAATGCATCTGGTCCGCGGGGAACAGGGATCTCAATATATTCTAATAAAAATGGCATTTTTTATAATTTTTTTATTACAAATGTCAACTAATAAAAATGAAGTAAATCATTCCATATCAGGAAGACACCATCTAGCGGGAAGTCTGGAAAAGTCCACCTCTTCTATAGATCTCAATTTGTTAATTAGAACCACATCCAAAAGGATCCCTAATTGAGTGTAAAATCACTAATCTGAACTTTATACCATTTCTCACCAAAAACTACCATTCACAAGTATAGAAAACCTTTCACACATATATTTTACTCTAATTTAAAAAGAACTGGGGTAGAAAATGGAGGCAGTAATATTTTTATAAATAAATTGTTTAGCTACTTACTTTTTACAACAATCAAACATAATGTAGAAAGCGGGAGAATTTTAAAATAATAAATTTAATTTTCTAACCTCTGCCAGTTGCACACACTTAACTGGTGTAAAAGGGTGAAAATAGTTTTTTTTTTTTTTTTACAATTCTAATAACTTAGTTTTAAAATATTTTAAAACAGAACCGGTGCAGAAATTTAAATTAATTTTAAAAAATAGAAAAATTTTCCTAAGTAATATTTAGAGTCTATTAGATGTATTAAAGTGAAAAATATCTGGAGAAAAAAATCAGAAAGATTATTAGATCAAAGATTTAATTGGGCTAAAAATTAGTGTATCAGGCCGAGTAAGTTATTGCCTAAAGCCCAACTGAATTCAGAGCATAATAGTAGGCTCAATAAGGCCCAAAATAATGTCATCTAGAAAGAATAAAGAGGCGGTGAAATCACCATAATTAAATGTTGAAGTATTTATGGTTAATAAATTAATTATGGTGATTAGAAAATTGATCATGGTAATAAAGAAGATTAATCTTATTAAATTAATTAAGATTAAATTATACAATGTTATAAGTAACTGAGTTTGGTAAAACTAACCATAGTTGGAGAAATAACCATAGTTTGTTAAAAATAACTAAATTTAGTAATAATGATTATGATTAGAGGAAAGCAACTATAATTAAAAAAAATTAATTAAGGTTAAAAAGGAATAATGGCAAGATTAGTAAATAAACATTAACATATTGGGGAAAAAGAGAAGTCTAAAAGTGATCTCAAGGGGAAGGATAGAAGAGCAAATTGGACGACTAAGATTTAATCTTCAGAGGTAGGATTAACTGTTATAATTAACAATTTTGTCAAAATATGATTGGTAGAAACCAAATTTTATTAAATGTAGTTTAATTTTTCAATTTAATCACACACTTCCTCTTCCATTCGGTCAGTTCTGTAGCCACAAGAGGAAGGAAGAGAGAGAAGTTTAAGAAGTCATTTATAAAAGATTATAGTGTTTTTAGAGAGGGAAAGACTTTCATAATTATTTCCATCACCAAAACCTCATTTCTGATTCAAAGTGTTAGGTTTGATAACGTATATAATTAGTTTTGATGGTGTTAAACATCAAAGTAAAAAGTTTGCATCTTATACTTTTCTCATATATAGGTTATGCTTTAATCGACTAATTCATTAATCTTATGTACCGTTTGGTACGAAACATTGAAAATGAGAGATAGGGCTTGGGATTGGGACTGAGAAAATCTATTAAAAGAGTATTTAGTATGAGAAATTGCTTAGTATGTGGGATTGAGGAATACAATGGGGGGAAGTGGTATTCCCCAGTCTTCTCTCCATTGGTTTACCTAATCCCATCTAACAAGTAATTATTCATACTAAAGACTTTTTTAATGATTTTGTTTTTCAATTATAATCCTAGTCTCTATCCCTCATTTTCAATACGTTGTACAAAACGGGACCGTGGTATATAGCATATAAATCAAATGTATAATTTGAGTCAATTTATTACTAAGGGCCCATTTGGTTCAACTACCATATGTTTAGAGACATGCAATGAAATGTAATGCAATATTATTTATTACCATTAACATGTTTGGTATCTTATTAGGAAGATTGGACAGAGAGATTATCTTTTATATTTAATCAAATAAAAAGGAGAATGAAAAACCTATATTGCCCTCAGTTGAAAAAAAAAACGAAAAGAAAAAGGAAAAGAACAATTTTATCATCCACGCCCCATCTTCAACCCCTCTTCAACGCCATTTTCAGTAAAAATAGGGATCTTCACGGTTAACGTTGAAAAGATTAATGTACTGATTTCCCGTCTGATGTCAAAATCAACCACATGGATCTTGTTTCCACTAGCTGATTTCTTCATTAATGTGGCTTCAAGGATTGTGAGATTGGCCGCCATGAACCAGACCTAGAAGCACAAAGACCATTTGTAGAGCAATTGGGTCGACTCGGGGTGTTCCCTGCTGAACAACTATGTGATGGGGGGAGGATTATTCCGAGAGTTCATCGTTGATTTCATTGCATCAATCTCTGATCTGAGTTAACATTAGTGATTCCTTCGAACAGGTGGAAAAGTAACGCACAAGTAAGGGGAATCCAAGTAATGCGATAATGGTAATGGACAAAGGGAGACGAAGACTGGAGAGGGAGCGGTGATGTTACAAGAGATGAAGAAAAGCTATTCGACAAGGAGGAGAGGGAGCGCTAATGGTGATGGAAGGAGGGAGATGACGGCTGGAAAGGGAGGGAGATGAAGGAGGACGTTTGGGGAGAAAGGAAGGCGTAGAAAAAAATGTTGAGGGCAAATTATGCCCTTTCACATGGCTTGTTGAGGACTAAATAGATATTTTATAAGCAATTGCAACCCTGCAATGATCAATCATAGGGTCTCTCTTAGGAATAGATACTACCAGAAATGTGCAATCTTTATTACCAATGCAATCCCTTTTTACCATCATTAAGCGCAACTAAACATGTCATCTATGGTAATGTGATCAGAATTACTATTGCACATATGCAAAGTGATTGAACCAAGCGGGCTCTAAAAGTTATATTCTTATGAGTCGAGTAATTCAAGCCTATCGTTTTAAGTATTTCGAGTCATTAACTCGAACTATATTTTTAGCATGTGTAACTTCTGTTCATTATATTGATTTTGTAATTGAAGTCAAAGAATTTGAGTCATACACTCAAACCTTCTAATCCTTAGTGAACTCAGGCCATTGTTAGAAGTTACATACTTGATTGAGTTAGAGAGATTGAGCAACTCGTGTCCGTGAAGTTATATTAACAAATACCTTTCATCAACTTAATCTCTTAATCACAAGTCTTCACTGAAAGTTTTGCTATACTCTATTTTTCTTTTAGCATTATTGGCATTTGTTTGGTAATTCTGTAATATCTCCCGAGATACAAATCTTTTTACAGCTAGTGAAACTTGTCTCATATGAAAATAGACTCAAAACTTTGGTGAAGTGACACCTGTTTCAATCTCAAATTTCATATGAAGTAGATATGTCTTTCGAAATCTTCTGCTTGGATTTCACTCTACGCCAAAAAATGTCCCAAACCTTTACATATTCTTTTGATAATGTCATTCGGAATATAAAAATATTTTTGAACGAGTCTTGTTGTGTTAGCAACTAGACTTGAAAAACATTTGATTGATAAGTTGTCGTTTTTGTTGGATATTGCGTTTCGAAATAACAAAAGTAGTTAGATTTCTAATCCATTAATTGCTTGCGCTATTTCAAGTTACATCTCAATTATATGTAGATGATAAAGCTTGAGTTATTTGAATCAGATGAAAG